CATGGGGACAGGTCCCAGCAGCGATGGGGACATGGGGGTGTCCCTGGGGACCATCCCCATGATGTCCCCTCACCTACACCACGATGGGGGTATCGGAGAAGACGGAGCTGACCGAGTCCGGATCCGACACCTTCCTCTGCGCCTTGGGGCCGTGCTGGGGGGGGGCCTGTGGGGTTCCCCCCACCTTGAACCTGCCGTTCTGCCCCGGGCCGGTGGTGGAAGATGAACGGGAGCGACAAGGCTCCCCGGGGACACCGGTGGCATGGTTAGGGGTGGCACTGAGGACGGAGGAGTTGATGCTGTCGTCGCGAGGAGCCGGTGGTTTGTCGGTTCGGCAGCAGCAGCAGCGACACGGGGTGAGGTACAGGTAGATGAGCACCAGCACCACGCTGAGGATACAGCCCACCAGGGTGGTGTAGGCGGTGTTGAGGGTGTCGTGGGGACCGTGGAGGGTGAAGTTGTGCACCAACAACTCCAGGTAAAGGGTCTCGTTGAGGAGAGGACCCCCCACCCAACAGGCGTAGGTACCGGCGTCCTCGGGGCGTAACGCCCGGAGCTGTAGGCTACCATTGGCCAAGAGCGCGGCGCTGCCGTTCCCACCTTCCTCCAACACCCGCTCACCTCCCGGTGTCACCCAGTGCCGGTTACGCACCCCCCGTAACCGGGTGTCACAACTGAGGGTGACGGTGTCACCAAGATGAGCTTCCAGCACCGCTTCCCTCGCCTCGCTGCAATTAAGCGGCTGCCGCCCGGCCAAGGTGAGGATGCCGACAGGCGCCGAGGCGGCGGGTAACCAACACCGTAACTCCTCCTGGAAATCCATCACCGCGCTCAGCCGCCGCCGGTGGCCACGGGCAACCAACTGGAAGAGGTGACAATCGCAGAGCAGGGGGTTGGCGTGTAGGTAGAGGCGGTCGCGGAGCCAGGCGGGCAGCGCCTGCAGGTCGCCCACGGGCAGGCCACGCAGGCGGTTGGCCGACAGGTCCAGCAGGGCCAGCTGGGGCAAGCGGCTCCCGTCACGGAACAGCTCCAGGGGGAAGCGGGAGATTCGGTTTTGGCCCAGGTAGAGCTTACGGAGGTGGAGGAGGTTCTCGAAAGCTGTGCGGTCCACGGAGGAGATCTCGTTGTTGTAGAGGAGGAGAACTTCCAGCTCCACCAGGTCACTGAAGAGGTTCTCCTCCAGCGCTCGCAGGCGGTTCGAGGACAGGTCCAGGTGGCGGAGGTGGGGGACGTGGGTGAAGGCTTCGGTGGAGACGAAGGAGAGGCCGTTGTGGTTGAGGAGCAGAGCGTGGAGGTGGCTCAGGCGTCCCGGAGCCCAGTCGGCGCGTAAGCGGCTGATGTTGTTGTGACTGAGGTCGAGGACGGCGGCGAAACGTGGCAGAGGGGACGGCACCGAGCTCAGCGCCGCCTGCGAGCAGCTCAGGATGTTGGAGGCACAAACGCAGCGTTGGGGACAGGTCCCACCCGCCCGTCCCCACGGTGACAGCAGTGCCAGCGCCAGCAGGAGTGGTATTGGTGACACTGGCCACCCAACAGCTCCCATGGCCACGCTGTGCCTCATGGTGTCACACGGGGGACGTGGCACCGGCATGGCTGTGACCACCAGCATGGGGTTGGCTTGCACGGGGTGGCTTCGGTCACCCGGTGTCACGGCATCCACCGGGCTCGCTGCTCACCTGGTGTCACAGTGCAGGGTGGCTCGGTCACCCGGTGTTGCAGAGTAGGGTGGCTTTGTCACCCAGTGTCACAGCATGTGCTGTAGGGTGGCTTTGTCTCCCAGTGTCACAGCATGTGCTGTAGGGTGGCTTTGTCTCCCAGTGTCACAGCATGTGCTGTAGGGTGGTTTTGGTCACCCAGTGTCACAGCGTGTCCCAGGCTAGCTGCTTGCCTGGTGTCACAGCACAGAGTCACTCAGTCACCCAGTGTCACAGTACAGGGTGGCTTGGTCACCCAGTGTTGCAGAGTGGGGTGGCTTTGTCACCCAGTGTCACAGCATG